AAATTATTATAAAACATTATGTACATTACTTTCGGGCTTTGATTATAAATACTATTATTGTACTATCATTATTATTAATTAATGATATTATGCAAAATTTAGTAGTGTATATTATTAATTATTATACACAGTACTGGAATAGGAAAAAAGAGGGGGGGGGATGCAAATATTTATAAAAAATTGTGTTTTCTTGAAGCTTTGTATTTTCTACTGATTAGAATATAATAAGAAAGGRTAAGTTGAAGCTCGAAGTATTTAAGAGAGATACTCAGTTTCTACTGTAGAACAGAAGTCAAGTGTACCTAWTTATTGATTAATTGATTATAGCCTTATTATAGGCCAATGCCAATGTAAAAGATAACTTATTTTAATTCAATTATATAACACATTGTATAGGTACCTACAAAAAACAATTTTAAGTGGAGAACAGGAGATGGTTCGTCAGCCTATACCAATTTATAAAGATATTTTATTATATGTTACTACTTAATATTTTATATTACTATTAGTAATTGGTCACTAATACGGCACACACTATACTTATAACCAGCTTAAAATTAATCAAAAKACTTTGAAAATGTCATTGTTTACCTAAAGTAAAATGTTATAATAATTATTAATTATTAATATGCATAAATATATCAAATCAAAAAAATCTTTTGTATGGTGTCATCAAACACTGTCACTAAATTTTTATATTAAAAAATACTCAGGTATGTCATTAATTATTTTTTCATTACATTTGTTAAAATTAAATGAATACAAAATAAGATTCTTGAATGGTGCTGAGRCTTTGATACACATTTATCTAAGCTATATTGGAGTGTCYAAGCGGCTCATTGCTTATTGGCTTATCGTATATTACTAATTTAGGGTTCAAAAATGTCAATGTTTTGTTAGTTTCAAATATTTAAGAAGACTGAAATCATAGAAAGTTGTGATGTTGTGAAGACCTTACTCAAATTGTTAATTCAGAACATGTACTTATTGTGACCAAAACAACAAACAAATATAGCTTAATTTGATTCTAAAAAACACTCAGTTAATTTAAATATGAATTAATATGTATTTTCATTAAACAAAAAAAAAAAATCAATTTAATATAAACAGTAAAACAGTGCAATATTTTTGTGGGGAAAAATTTTTTTTTCTTCTAAATTCTGATAAGATTTATGAGTTTTATTTTCTTCTTATTATACAGAGTTTAGGTAAACAATTATATTTTAAAGAGGGTACAGAATGCCTTTAGCAACTTTAATTTTTTCTTCATTACCGAGCAATACTTCTACTAGACTTAATCCAAACTCAATAGCTGTAGCAGGTCCACGACTGGTCACCAGATTTCCTACAATACAGGGAAAAAAAT